CCCAAGCCCTTCCTCCAGCGGCCGCATACCCGCCTCCTCCTCCTGCCCCGTGCCCGCAGCGCGGTGCTGCTCGTGCAGCAGTGCCAGCTGCAGGGCACCCTGCACCTCCTCCTGCCCCGTGCCCGCAGCGCGGTGCTGCTCGTGCATGGCAGTGCCAGCTGCAGGGCACCCTGCACCTCCTCCGGCCCCAGACCGTGCGCCCCGCACTCCCGCACACGTGTCCTGGGGGGGATGCTTGAGCCTCCAGTGCTCACATTCAGCACTCTCCCATACTGCCCTGTGCAGCCCCCCGTTTGGGGGCCTCCCTGTCACTCACGTGTCCTCTTTGCCCCTCTGGCTGAAACAAGACTTCTTTTGATCCAGGATACCATCCATCCAAATGTTCCTACACGCATCCTCCTCTCATGTCCCCATATCTGGCTAGGATGGGCTTTGAGGATTTCTTATTGCAGCGGGATTTTACAGGAAAGCTACGAGATCAGAACCAACCGCAGTCATCCCCACACGGGCTCTCCAGCCGGGCCCAACACCCGCCACACGTTCACCACGGCCCCGCGGCAGGCGCACGCGAACGTCACCGCTCCCGGGACGCTCCTCCCCGGCAGCGCGCCCTTCCCGCAGCCTCTATCGGGCCGGACCGCTCCATTTGCTGGGGACGCACGGGGTCCCGGCGCTGCCTGGCCCAGCAGCTCTGCACCGCTGCTAGGCAGACGGGCACAGCTCTGTGCAGGAACCCCGGGCAGGAACACGGCACCTTCAGGAGGAAAAGCGTAGAACTGAAAAACACCGTCACTACTTCCACATGCAAAGAGCATGCATGAAACAACACACATCCTCACAGACATTAAAACCCCCAGTGCTATTATTTTCCTCCAAGTGTTGCACGGATATAAGTGACCAGGCACAACATACAACAGTATCAGAGCTCTGCACTTGTCTCCTGTTACGGGAAGAGCCCTTGGACTGCAGAGAGCCCTGAGTCCCGACGTGCAGACGTGTCACCCGACTCGGGGCCTCGGTGCCGCTTGTGCACAGGGGACACGGCCCTGCTGCCTCGGTGCCGCTTGTGCACATGCCACCCACGGTGAGCGAGCAGCGGTACCAGAACTCCAAGAAGCCAAACTAGGAAGTGCGGAAAAACTCGCTCTCATGGGCATGTCTGGGCCAAGCGCGCTACTGCCAGATCTGTCACCTGCAACAACAATTAAAGATGATATAGAGCACATTTAGACAGAGGAGAATAAGTACAAGACTGCAGACTTTCGAGATTACATGCACATGCTTTGGGAGCCAAGTAATCTGTGAACACACAAGGGTGCCAGGAGTGCTGTGTAGTGTCACCAATGCAGGGAACGGCTCCTTCCTCCAGCCGAACCTGCACTTAACAGCAGCACAAATCGGGTGGGACACAAAGAGGAAGAGCCCAGGAAGAGGCTGTGGAAACAGGGCACGGAGCGGCAGCAAGAGAGCTTCAGTGTCACCCCCGGGGGAGCCTCTGCAGCTCCACAGAAACCTCTGCACAAGCGTCCGCAGGGAGAACGAGGGAACGGCTCCTGCCTCCGCGCGCACCGGGAAGAGCAGGCGCTGCCGGCGGGAGCAGCCCCAGCCCCGGGCACCGCTCCGTGCCCGACGAGGACACCAACTCTTGCCAGGAGCAGCAGATCTTATCAGACCAACTGTGAGCAGAGAGGCCTCCGGGCAGAGCAAGCGAACTTCAAGATAACACTCAGCTGGGAAACGCAGCTCAGAGTTTAGCTTCAGCACATCCAGGTATGGGAAAGTTTATGCAGGGCGCACGTAAGCACTGACCGCTCGTGGTGCGAACTGGAACACCAGTGAGGGATGAGACAGCCACCTCCAGCAGGAGAGGCAACAGGAATCGCTTCATTCCCCCGGAGCAGTGAGGGCAGGGAGCTGCAGGGAGCGTTTACGTGCCATAAAACCTCCGCTTCCAACTCCGGCAGATTCTGGGCGCCAGCGGGATGGCAAACGGCGGCGCGTGGGGGACCCGCCGTGCTCCCTGCCGGGCACAGAGCCACCCCGGAGCCGCTCGGCAGCGCGGACCGCACACAGCCCCGGCGCACAGAGAAGGGCCGGGCCGTCCCGCAGGGCTCCACCGCCGCGAGAGCGGAGGCGCGAGGGGAACAGCTGGAAACTGGAAGCGAGAAGCTCCTGGAAACGTCCCTGCAAAGCTCCGCACACCTGGGGGATCCGCGGAGCCAGCGGGCGGTTTCGCCAGCACCGCAGTGTGTCTGCAGCCCTGCGCGATGCTCCTGCAAAGAGAATCCCTTGCAGAGAGAAGCGCCTCATCGCGACCCAACGGGCTCCAGGCTGCTAACTGGATCAGGACCTGGAAAAGCCTCAAGATTTTTAGGAAGGACTGTATCAGCTGGATAAAACTTGGGAGTAAGAGGTTCCAAGAGGTTCCGAGAACATAGGGAAAAGATCGCGTTCATTGAGAAACAGCAAAGAGCTTCAGGTTTGTTCAGGCTGCAGCACGGCTTTGCAGCCTGGAGACTGTTAAAGTGACAAAAAGCAATAAACAGAGTAACTGCAAGAATATTTCTGAACAGGCACACAAGCCAAGGAACAAGCAAACCAGATACAAAACTAGCAAATGAAGATTCAAAATCTAATTTTAATTTTATTTTACTTCAAGTAAGAAAAAATGTGGCAGAATGTTCCTTGCATGTTTTGTGAAAAGGTTTCTTGATACGCAGATGAATGCTGAAAAAAATTAACCTTAAAAGGGCTGAAGGGAGACATGCCAGCAGCCTCCAAAGAAGTTAAGGGCTGCCACGAAGAGCGCGAGGAGGATGAATCACGGGATCGGCTCGAGGCGCCCGAGAAGGAGCCAGCACACGAGTGTGGAGGGGCCGGGTCCCGCAGCGGCAGCGTCTGCAGCACCGCGCGGGGCTCCCGCGTCGCCCCTCGCGCCAGCGCAGACCCTGTGTCGTGCTGGAGCACGTGCAGGACCTGCCTCCTGCCACGGGAGCTCCAGCCCTGCCGGCCGGAGCGGCGCAGGGGACAACGGCTCCGCCATGGCCAGCTGGAAGGGGCCGGAGGGCAAACACTGCCCTTGGACCTCCACATCCGAGTGCCGTTAGACAACGTCTCCCCGAGAAACCCTCTCCTTTCCTCCGCACGCTCGGTTCAGCCACGTTAAAAGAGGGTTTCCTTGGGGATTTGGAGAAGCAACGGAGCCCCGGGAAGGCCCGAGTCAGCAGTACTCACCACCTTCAGCTCCGGCACTGAGCGGCTCAGGGTCCATTCCTGGCTGTTCACGAAGGAATCTGCAGAAGGGAGAGAGCAGACGTGAGAGCAGGGCAGGGGGACCCGGCCTCCCCGAGCGCCGCTCCGCCACGAGGACACCCGTGCGGGGACCGTCCCCTGCCCCGAGCGCGGCCGCCCGGGGGTCAGAGCGGCCCCTTCCTGCAGGGC